GGGTGGGGTGAGGATGGTTCTCACTACAGCTAAACAACTCAAACCTTGATGAGTTATCTAAGGGGTTCTCGGCTATTTGCATTTTTCATATCCTTCAGGATAGTCTCTCTTCAACTTTTTAGGATCTTGGTTGCAGTGTCCGTCTGTTGTCGTATTACAATATATTAACAGCAGCATTTTAAAGTAAAAGGAGTGTTCAAAATGAGGAGAAAAAAAGAAAGAGAGGAAAAGAAGGTGAGGAAGGGAAAACACAATAGGACACTAGACACGGGAAGGGAAGTGTGTGGGAAACAAAGCACGTGCCTGTGTGAAAATCTGGTGGATGCTGTATACCAGGAAAAAGATGCCAAATTCTAAGGCTACCTCAACTAATGAAGAGTGTCATCCTGCAATAGCAGCCTCTTTAGGGCTTAAACTCATTTATTATTTTTGTTTTCACTATTGTTTGTGCTAAAGGGTTTTTTCTTTTCTGATAATTGAACAAAACTATTCTCTCATAATTTGTGTTTAAAACTAATTTATCTTGTCTAAGTGCCTACCATGCATCTCTTCAAAATAGAGTCTGTAAACAAAATAATGTTGCTTTATGAGCTTGCTGCTTGAGGGACGACAAATAAGAATAGGTGAAGCATTAGCAGACCTAAGTTGGAAATGGCCCTCTTCAGCGAATGTTCATTGTAGGGAAGTCCACTTGCCTCTGAGACACTGATTTTCCCATGTTTGTAATGACAGAGGTGTCAGGTGGCTAGAGAAAACCATCCCTAATATGACATCAGGGGTACGGGTCTCCCATGTTGTTAAGTTACAGTCAAGAAACCTGTAGTTCCTGTTCTTTAAGCTAATTAAACTTTAAATATCTTTTAAAATTCAAATCTTATTTGGCAGTCTGTTTTGTGGCTCTTCTGTGGAAGCTGCTGTTGTCATCTTTGGCCTCTCAAGGTAGTATAAAGATATGTCCTAAGAAAGCTGGTGGACTGATAGGACTCTACTGATTTGACTTCCTCTGTGAAAACAGGAATAAAGAAAATGGAAAGACACATGCTTTAAAAAAAAATATATCAGTGTTTTCAAAGGCTCATATGAGTTTAGAACTAGAAGATATAGGATTAGTCTCTGTTGGAGTTCGGGAGTAATAAAAAAGTCAGATGGTTCGAATTAGTTTCAGTCTTATTGAGACCCCAAATTAATCATTCAAGATGTAATTCACAAAAAGCAGGAAGCAAAATAGACCCATTGCCTCAGATTCTAAGACAGGAATAAAACGAACTAAGAGTGGCTTTCTTCCAGGAAGAAAGCAAAAGTACATCTGCGGTTCTCATGGTCAGGGAGAGGGTTCTTCTTAGAGCCAACTTTCGGTCGTGGGGATACTACCCACGTCCAACTAGAAACCAAGATGATGTTGCTCGTGCTGACACAAATCACAGGAAATTGAGGCAATCATGGACATTTACTGTACAAGCAGCAAACCAGAAAAGTCTCCTGAGAACAGGGAAGAGCCCACAGTCCTGGTGTTATTTTGGGTGGACTGAACAAACATGAATGCAGAGCTGGGAGCTAACTGGCACAGAATAAAACAGAGTTTGAACTGTGGCTCTCCACTAATGCACTACTAAGAATAATGGGTACTCTAAAGGATGTGAAGGCTCCTTTTCTCCCTGCCTCTGTGAACACATCAACAACCTAAAACCCCACGCAGTTAGAATAAGAGAAACGCTAGCCACGTGCCCCAAAGTGATCAAGAATTATTTTGTTTCCTTCCTACAGAAATGTCATTCATTTTTCATGAAAATTTGTAGTCTTAGGTGAACTTCAGAGTGAGTAGTGATATTCCTTTTGTTTTACAACATTGGTAGTAGTAGTTTCACATGGCTAGAACAGAGCTTACTCTTCTAAAAGAAAATAAACTTGTATTTTGATAACCAGATTTATTTCAAGTTATACTGATAATATCTCCATTATTTTGGTATTCAAATAAAAAATGTAGAAAAATTACATGTCTCTCTTGTTTTTCCAATTATAGTTTCTAAAATATTTTAAAAGTTGAATCATTTTAATTTGTTAAAAGAACTTTATAAAAGTAAATAACCAAATTATCTATGTTAAAGATTGTGCTTTTGAATTTTCTCAAAGGGAGGCTCACCTTTATTTTACCCATATTTTTAAAAGGTAGTATTTTTGGTTCAGAGTACATGAGCTTTGGAGTCATCTTACTGTGTAAATTAAAATAATTACATATATCAGCTGGAAAATATTATGTGGAATATTGCAGCAGTCAGACTGAAAGAGGTCAAGATTTATGGTGATGTTGATCAGAAACAGTATGGAAAATTTTCTCAGTCTGTTATCCCTTTTTCTATGACGAATTGACATACATTATTGTATCTCCCTAAACATGGACGCTTCTGGGCCATACCCTACAGCTCCAGGTATTCTCAGCAAGCTGAAACTATGTGTAACACAAAGCCATCAGAGGTCTTTCTATGCCAACGTCAAGTCATGATGAAGTTACAAGATTATCCATAACTGTGATCAGATTCTCTCAAACCAGCATTATTAATGTACTAATGATACATAAAAATATTCTACAGGTCAATACTAGTTTGCCACTTTCAAAAAAGCTTTTACACACATTATCTCAAGTGTAAATAAGTATGCCTATTTATGATAGAGTTTTCTATTTGACTGCCTCTTTTTGAGGTCACTCTCTCAGAAAGAGAACCTACATACAGAGCAGAGAGCTGTTTATCCAGCTCCTTCAGGTCAGTATGGCTGAGTGACTTGCAGAAAATAACATACTTACTATAAATACCAGATATAGTCACCTCAATTAAGTACTCGGTTTTGCCTAGGCATACCTTGGTCAAAACTCAGTAATAATCTGAACCTGAGGGGCAAAAAGATCAAAACGGAGGGCAAAGGATTGTTTTTATTTTTAGGTCATCAAAAAATACTAAACTGTTGGTCAGGATGATCCATAAAGAAAGAAAAACAAATTCAAACTATGACTAACAAGGCCTGCTGTGCATGAGTCACAAACTGAATCAAGCAAGGCCTCTGGAAACAGGAAGAAAAGCATCTAGGAGCCACATCATAATCAAGCAATGAGCCTTGTAACTTGTTGGTGTCTTCACTGAACTATTTCAATACCTTGATGAAGTCCAGAAGAGAGGTCAGCCAGTCTAAAACTCAACCTCTTCCCTACCAAGAATGTTCTCGGTGACCTTGAAGAGGAGTGTAGGAATGACTTTCTTAGGTGTGAACATGAAAATAGTGCTAGTTTAGTCAACCTTGGGGGATGACTCATTCCCCAATTGTGTCCTAGGCATTACGCTGACCTACTTCCTGAAGGTGGGATTAACTTTGCAAAGGGGGAAGGTAATTGTTCTATAGATTTCACTTCTATAAACTGGAAAGGGATTGTATTTATAAATGAAATATCCCAATAGCATACATCGTGTTGACTGAGCATAGAAGTTTGAGGCCTTTAGCTTTTCTCTCCATGGTTGCTTTGTTACTAAAATTCAGGAGAGACCAAATTGTATTTCAAAATGTTCCATCTTTACTATCTCACTTGGAGATTCAAATCCATAAGAGGATGTGCTTCTGATAAATACAATAATGACGAATCCTATCTGAATTCCCAACTGAGTGTATGTCTCTTGAAGAAATTTTTCTCTCTGCCTTGTCAATTTCTCACAAAGTCCAAGCTGTTTATCTGGGGAAACCACCATAATACTTTATCTGACTTAAATTGATGCTTACATGAAGTTTTTATCATAAGGATTGAAACTAGTAGTACAGGGAAGGAATAAAAAGACAAAGACAAACTTCCCCGCTTAATAGCTACAGAGAGTGCTTGGATCCAAGACCAGCCAGCCACCTGGCAGCAGAAAGAAGCAAGCTGGTTTAACCCCAGGGCTTCCCCTCCCCTTGTTAGTCTAACTGTGAAAACAGGCAAAAGAACAAAATAACCGGCTCCAAATCTCTTATTCCCAGCCTCATTCCCTACCATGGGACAGAGAGAGATCCTTCAAGGCCACTCCTCCGAGATAAGGTCAAGGTGAATCATGGCCTGATTCCCTGGTTGTCATTCCATTCAAATTTCCCTCAAATTGGCATTTTCCCCTCATACAGTGACGATTAAAGAATAATTATCATAACCAGAGTACAAATTCTAACTCTGCAACCTCATAGAAAGTGCTGGGCAGCTGTCTTTCCCACAGAGCTGAAAGGATGATGACTAACACATAAATTAACCTGCCAGTTGGGTGCTAATATTGCATTGATATCCTGGCTCTTCAAGGACATTTGATTTTCTGATTTAAATGGTACGGCATGATCTATGTCATGCCTCAGAAACAGAATTGGCTTTATAACCATTTTTCTTCATAACCGTCCATCCATCTGGTGTGCATTTGTGGGGAACTGAACAGGAGTTAACCATTTCGTAATGCTCACAAGTCTGCGGGTTGTCTGGGTGGTTTTGCTGATTTGGGAGATGATTTCGTGATCTTGGCTGATCTAGTTCCTGTGATTGGCACACTGACTGGGGGCTAGTCGATCTAGAATGGCCTCACTTGTCTATCTGGCAGCTGTTCTTGGCTCCCAGCTGGGGCAGTGGGGCTAATTGGGCCATGCATGCCTCCTCCTCCAGCAGGCTAGCTCTGGGTTGGTCACAGGAGGTCACAGGTTCCAAGAGCAACAAAAAAGTAAGCCACAATGTGCAAGACTTTCACGAGTCTGTTTCTGATTTTCTAAAACAAGTACAAGGCCAGTTTAGATTCAAAGCATAGAGAGAGATGCTACCTCTTGGGGGAAGAGCTACAAAGCTTCATTGCAAGGTCATGGGCATAAGGAAGGAAAAGGTTTTGACTATTTTTGCAATCTACCACATGCCCTTTGACCATAATTTTGATACTTTTTCTTTCAAGTCAACTGATACAGCAGATTAGGAAATCCCTGACCTAAATCTATCCATTTTTTTTCCTTGACTCCACCAGGTTTCTTCTGGGTCCATTCAAGAAAGTGTGAAAGACCGAGTGATTGACTCAAGATTGCAGCTGTTTATCACTAAGCCAGGACTCTTCACATGCATAGCTACTAATAAGCATGGAGATAAATTCAGCACTGCAAAGGCTGCAGCCACCATCAGCATAGCAGGTAGGATGGATTTTCACAACCGCATTGCTCCAGGAGAGGGGAGAGTTGGCACTATGCCACATCTCATTTGAGGGAAAATCTTTTTTCTTTTATTTCTTACTCCAGTCCCCTTTGGGTGATTTCTTCCTCCTTGAGGACACACCAGCGGTTGATCTAGATAATTGATCTTGGGTGATTTATTGCCTCAAAAACGAAATCCTCCAATACCTGTCCCCATGATGGGTAACAGCTTCTAGAAGTTCATTTCTATTTCTTTTCTCTCCCTCCCTTTCTTCCTCTTTTTTAACCTTCCTCCTTCCTTTCTTCCTTTTCTTCTCTTTTTCCATTTCTTTCCTTTCCTTCCTCTCTCTCTCTTTCCTCCTCCTCTTTTTTTTCTTTCATGGGGCTAATCACACTTTCCAGGGCTCTCAAAGAGTAACTTGGCAGACACTTAACATGGTTGTGCCAATTTCTGCATGGCTCTTTCTTGAGGGCATTTTTACTTATGAGTATTTGATCTACTTTGTGGTCTTTCCCTTTCCTGTTTCAGGAAAGTGATAGCAGGACTTACAGGTGTTTTCAAGGAAAAGAGCTGACATACGGATTTCTAGGATATTTGTGTTGAGTTATAAAGGTTTATTTTTAAAATGTAAATGCCCCAAAGCCTTCTGAGAACATTTGTGGAATTCCTAGAGATGGAAATAATCCCTGTATCAGGAAATGCCAGGCATGCTATACTCATAATATGTCTACTGCCCAAGGGTCAGCAGAGATGCTTGGCTCACATGTGAGGCAAGCACTGGTAGAACCTGTGCCCAGGGCCAGCTCCCCAGATCCTGCTATGTCTTATTACCATGCCACTTCTTTGATCTTCCATGATGGGGAAATTCCTAGTAATGATTGTGATTTTAATATGAGATGAATAGAGACCACAGAGAAATACATAGGGAGCACTGGACAAGGCTGGCCTTCTAAAGCATGCCTTTGAAGGAAGGAGAAGATTCTAAAACTAAGGATTCCTTCAACCTGCTTCTCCAGGGATCTATCTACTTATAGTACCTTGAGATATCATATCAATTATTCTAGAATTTCCACTGATGAGAAATCATTTCTCCTAGAGAATGGTGAGAATTCTAAAAGTGAATTCAACTCAATATAACAAATAATAATAAAACAATTATTGCTTACATAGTACCTTGTTGTTGATAAAAGACTCTTACATGCATTTATTAAATACTAGATTCAGGCCATCATTAGGTAGAATAAAGGATGCAAACTTAAGTAACAAATGAGATCATTAACAATGGAGTCCCTGCCTTCCAGGGACTGTCAATCTAGAAAGGAAGTCAGCCAGCCATATACATTATGGCACAGACTATGTTCTACTGCAGAAGCACAGACGAAGAAAACAGCAAGCTGTTGGCAAGCTTAGAGCATGATGGCGATAGAGAAAACATGATGGTGAGATAGAGAACAGGAAGAAAGGTTTGAAATGTGGGCTCTGGCCAGGTTATGAACAGCCTGAGTAGGTTGAATGTATTCTTCAATCAGTGGGAAGTCATCTAATTATTTTAGAGGAGAGAAGTGATATGGTCAGATATATGCATTATCAAATTAGCAGATGTTGGGTGTAAAAGACTGGGAGGCATGGCATGCAGTCAGGAGGCTATCCCAGGAGTCTAGAAAAGTAATGAAGGTCTGAACGACAAGTGCAGCAATTGGTCCAGAGAGAAGGGGAGAGATTCAGGTGACCTGTCAGGATAGAAACGATAGGACTTGAGAGGTGCCTGGGTGGCTCTGTCGGTTAAGGGTCCAACTCTTGATTTTGGCTCAGGTCATGATCTCAGGGTTATGGGATTCTCTCTCTCCCTCCTCCCCCTGCCCTTCCTCTACCTCTCTGTCTTAAAAAAAAGGGGGGATAGGATTTGAATGTGCTAGAATGTAGCAGTGTAGTAGATATGAGAGTTTGAGGAAGGTGTCTAGAACAAATAATAACAGATAAAACAAAATAGAAGATTTAAAAAAATTAAAATTTTTAATGCCTTTGAATAACCTGGAATTATTCTAGTTTCACTATCTTATGTTTTATTTGATATCTGATCAGTGACCAATGTTAAATAAGTAAATACCTATTTACAGTATCTATCCATCCTTTCCTCCATCTATTTAGATAATGTGCGTGTGTGCGTGTGTGTGTGTGTGTGTGTGTGTAGAGAGAGAGAAAAACATCTACATATGAATACTCAAATCCAAGAAAATAAACTGATTTAATCTAGTTTAACCTACAGCTCCTCAGGGTGAAAGAGAAAAATTAATGTTGCGAATCTTAAGAGCATTTCATTTTAGGTAATTATTCAGTCCTTTACGTATTAATTCCCTGCCAGGGCTTTTCCTCCCCTTCCGCCCCTCTCCCCTAGATGGCAGGGGAAAAGGGACTTGGATACATGCAGTGGTGACCTCTGGAACAAACCCCTACCCCATTCTCTGGTGAAGTCTACAGCTGGAGAACTTGTGATCTCATCTCTTGGCTTTGTTAGGACCCAGAGGATGCCCCTGGCTGGCTCAACACCTTTGAGGCTCGTCCTGTAACAGCGAAGGCATCTCCATCTGGGTCACATCCTTCATCAAAGCCCTCTCTAGAGTCTACTTTGCAACCTCTGCAACTCAGTCACTCTGTCTCTCCCTATGAAGGCAGGCCTGCTGAATTCCAAGTCGGCTCCTTCCTTATCCCTCATGGGGCCTGAAGTAACTTCTGGATCACTTTCATGTTATGCATAATCCATTTGTTATACAAAATCCAAGAGAGATTCAGACCTATTGACCTATTGACCCAGTTCTGCTGTCTACCCAACCACGTCATGCTACCATTTTTATATTAATGTGGCCATCCCATGTCAGAGTAAGGAACGCCTATAAGGTTCCTTGCGTCTAGAGTTCCAAATAAGAAGAAGAGAAAAGTCCCTTTGCTTTGGCTTTTTCCTTAATTTATACCTCTCCTCTAGGATTTTGGTCCAGAGAAAGGAATCTATAAAATGTATATCCGAATTCTTATTTCCTCTACCTTCCTCCTTTACACAACATACCAAGTGGGAGAGACTCCCCGTCTAGTGCAGCAACCCTCAGAGGGCCTACCATCTTAAATACAAAGATGAGTGTGAAGTCAGTGCTATGGCAATAAAGAAGGAGAACCTAATATAATGGGTATATTTACATCACACCAAGGCAGATTCATTGCATGGACACGATCTTCAAGATGCCGAAATGACTACAGAGCATGACTGCCACCATATTGTATGCAGCAACATCACCCCTTCATCCCTGACCTAGCTGATCTAACTCCATTAATAAATGGAATATACCAACAGTGGAGGCTGTAATACTAAAAAAGTAATGGTATCTTCTGGTGGTAGAAAGAACCTTAAGTTATGGCAAGCAGCATAGAAAGGCATGCCTTTCTATGGAGGGAGAAGTGGTCTTAGGCATCAACTCTGAGAAAAGACCAGAGTGAGGCAATGGTAGCCTGGGGGAAAATAGCAGTAGCACTGGCATGGGGAAAAAGATGGTAGAAGTAATGCAAGAACCGGTATATAGCAGCAGAGAGGACCTGAAATCTCCTGCAGCAGCAAGGTGAATACAGATGAAGAGCAGTGACCTCAGTAAGGGCAATGGTCAGGTAGGCTGGAACCAGCAATAACTTGACTTTCGCCAATGGGCCCAGCAATACATATTTAGCAAGTGTTAGGAGCTGTATGTGAACCAATAAATGTGAATCCTTCTGCACATGGAAAAAATTGTTACTAAGATGAATGAAGAAAGACTCCCTTAAGGAACTAATTCATAAAAAGCTATGGGATCCTTTTGTTTATCCCCTGATCAGTTTTTCCTGTTGGATCTCACAGACTTTGAGGCCTGAAGCTCCCCTACTTTTCCTAAAATTTCCCCAGTAGATCTAATGAGGGTGTCTCATGAGTGCAATGGAGTAAGACCTCTGAACCCCATGAGACATCTGCCATTTACTCTTCCTCTCCTTGACCCATTCTTTTCCATTAAATCTGCTAGATGCCTCACAATGTTTCCAGTGCCATCAGTGAGGAAATTGCCTCCCAATGCTGAGGTGCTCCCTGAGGCAATATTCCAGGAAAGTGAGGTCACATTGGTGAAAACAAGATCCATGGAGCCACTTAATTCAGAATCATTTTAAAGAAGCATGGTCTTATGCTCCTGAGACCTCCCAGGGCTTGGATATGGCATCTGCTTTCTCCATTTTAATTTCAGCCCCTCTCTCCTTTGGCCTCTGATGGCCTCAGAAGTCCAGAGTTTTGAGTCAGACATGGTGACTCCTCTTGACATTCTGGCAATGCTTCCTTACCCCAAACTCTCCTTTCTCTCCTTTCAGTCATCCCCATCCTCCCCTAGTGTTCTGTAGTCAACAGCCTCCTTTGTCACATTCTCTGTGTTTCACTTTGAAGCTTTTACTCCATCTGTTTATTTACTCATCCCAGCAGGAAAACTGGAAATGGAAAAATCTGGTCTAGTGCTTAGGATTAGGTCTAATGATATTTCTAGTGTTTGAAGGAAAACAAAAAATAAAGATCAGCCTTCATTTTCCCAAAACTCTTCCATGTGTATGCCCAAATCCTTATGCATTGTTTGAGAAATGTGATATACTTCTTTCTCACTCATTTACATTTGCTGTTAGTCATCAAAAGGAGTCAGGAAAATTTTGGAACCTCTCCTTATGAACCAGGAAGTTGCATTTCCTTCCAGCCACAACCTTGAAAGGTTCAAGTTGCAATTTAAAATCACCAGGATACTGGGTATTTGGCCAGGTGCCTTCTCTTTGTCATTAGAACCCTAGGCTCTGTGACAGAGACCAGCAAGACAGCCCATGATCCCTGTAATGAGCATAATTCTGGAAGAGCCAGATGCCACCAAAATAGGCATCAGTACTAATTGTACCAAACATTTAAAGAAGAATTAACACCAATTCTTCTCATACTCTTCCAAAAATTGAACAGTGGGGGAACACTCCCAAACTCATTTTATGAGGCCAGCATTACCCTGATACCAAAGCCAGATAAGGATATCACAAGAAGAGAAAACTACAGACCACTTTCCCTGATGAATGCAGATGCAAAAATTCTCAACAAAATATTAGCAAGCCAAATTCAACATCATATTAAAAAGAGCACTTATCATGATCAAGTGGGATTGATCCCTGGGATGCAAGGATGGTTCAACATACACAAATAAATAAATGTGATACAACACATCAATAGAATGAAAGATAAAAATCATATGATCATCTCAATAGATGCCAAAAAGCATTTGAAAAAATGCTACATCCTTTCATGACAAAAATGTTCAACAAACTGGGTATAGAAAGAACATTCCTCAACACAATAAAGGCCATATATGACAAACCCACAGCCAACATCATACTCAATGGTGAAAGGCTGAAAACTTTTCCTTTAAGATCAGTAACAAGACAAGGGTGCCCACTCTCACCACTACTCTTCAACATAGTACTGGAAGTCCTAGCCCGAGCAATTGGGCAATAAAAAGAAATAAAAGGCATCCAAACTGAAAAGGAAGAAGTAAAATTGTCTGTTTGCAGATGATATGATCTTATATATAGAAGATCCTAGGAACTCTACAAAAAAACCACTAGAACTAATCAACAAATCCAGTAAAGTTGCAGCATACAAAATCAACATACAGAAATCAGTTGTGTTTTTATACACTAACAACAAAACATCTAAGAAACAAAGAAAATCATCCCATTTATAATAGCATCAAAAACAATAAGATACTGAGGAATAAGTTTCACTGAGAAGGTAAAAGATCTGTATGTTGAAAACTAAAAGATTTTATGAAAAAAAATCAAAGACACAAATAAATGAAAAGATATCCTGTTTCATGGATAAGAACTAATACTGTTAAAATTCCCATATCACTCAAAGCAAGCTACAGATTCAGTGCAATACCTATTAATATTCCCATGGCATTTTTCACAGAAATAGAACAAACAATTCTAAAATTCGTACGGAAGCATAAAAGATTGTGAACAACCAAAGCAATCCTGAGGATGAAGAATAAAGCTGGAGGCATCACACTTCCTAACTTCAAACTATATTACAAAGCTTCTATAGGAATCAAAATAGTATAGAATTATCAAAAAAACAAACTATAGACCAATGGAACTGAATGAAGAGCCTAGAAATAAACTCACATGTATATGGTCAATTAATTTACAGCAAAGGAGCCAAGAATACACAATGGGGAAAGAACAGTCTTTTCAATAAATGGTCCTGGAAAAACTGGATAACCATACAAAAGAATAGAACTGGACTCCTCCTATCTTCCACCATACACAAAAAGCAACTCAAAATTGATTAAAGTCCTAAACATAAGACCTGAAACCATAAAACTCCTAGAAGAAAACATAAGCAATGAGTTTGACATCAGTCTTGGTGATGATTTTTTTGGATATGACACCAAAAGCACAAGCCACAAAAACAAAAATAAACAAATGGGATTACATCAAACTAAAAAGCTACTGCCCAGCAAAGGAAACCGTCCACAAAATGCAAAGGCTTCCTATGAAATGGGAGAAAATATTCTCAAATTGCATACCTGAGAAGGGGCTAATATCCAAAGTACATAAAGAGCTCATATAACTCAAAAGCAAAAAGACAATCCAATTTTTTAAAAAAATGAAGAGAGGATCTGAACAGACATTTTTTTTCTAAAGAAGACATACAAATGGCCAACAGGTACATGAAAAGGTGCTCAACATCACTAATCATCAGAGAAATGCAAATCAAAACCACAATGAGATATTACCTTATAACTGGATGACTATCAAAAAAAAAAAGACAAGAGTTAATAAATGTTGGCAAGGATGTGGAGAAAAGGAAACCCTTGCACACTGTTGGTGGGAATGTAAATTGGTTCAGCCACTGTGGAAAACAGTATGGAGTCCTTAAGAAATTAAAAATAGAAATGCTATATGATCCAGCAATTCCACTTCAGGATATTTATCCAAAGGAGATGAAAATAGGATATTGAAGAGGTATCTGCACCCTCACGTTTGTTGCAGCATTATTCACAATATATCGAAACAGTAGATACTAGTTACAAGATATGGAAACAACCTAAGTTTCTGTCAACAAACAAATGGATAAAGAAGATGTGATATATATAAAATACCTCACTGTATATCTTACAGCATCTCATATACATATATACATACAATGTGATATTATTCAACAATGATGAAGAAGGAAATCTGGCCATTTGTGACATGGATGAAACTTGAGGCCATTATGGTAAGTGAAATAAATCAGACAGAGAAAGACAGATATGTATGATATCACTCATGTGTGGAATCTGAAAAAGTCTAACTCATAGAAACACAGAGGACAGTGGTAGTTACCCCATGCTGCGTGGTGGGGGAAATGGAGAGATGTTGGTCAAAGGGCACAAACTTCCAGTTATAAGATGAATAAGTTCTGGGAATCTTTGTCCATATGGTAATTATAGTTAATAACACTGTATTATATACTTGAAAGTTGCTATGAGAATAGATCTTAAATGTCCTCACCACAAAAAAGAAATGGTAATTATGAGACATGATGGAGGTGTTAGCTAATGCTAAGCCGGTAATCATTTTGCATTATATAAGTGTATACCTTAAACTTACACAACGTTATAATTATATCTCAGTAAAGCTAGCAAAAAAAAAAAAAAGACAAAGGGATGCAGCAGAGGAAAAGTTTGTATTTCCCATTCTCAGTGGCATTAATAGGTCCTTCCTGGAAGACTGAGGTTCAGAGTTCCACCTACTCTTATCCAGTTGGAGAGTACAGGAATGAGTCTATACTCCAACATAAGCCAGTCATTCCACCAACACTCCCACCATCTACAATGCTTCTTCTTTGACCTCAGGATCTGGGGCTTCCGGTCACTAAATTTAAAACTCAAATGAATATATGCAGCATAACCAAAAATGGGCGTAGGGAGGGATCTAACGTAGTAGTATTGGTGTTCCCCACCCCTCCAATGGACCACATATTTTAAGCATTGATAGTTCACACTATTACCAAAAAACAACAACAACAAAAAAAACAGAAGTTTGAATTCTATTTTCACAATCGACATAGCTAATTGAACGTACTGCCCTGTTTCACGGTCTCTCTCATGTCTGATAGTCACACTCCCTCGTCCCTGACATGCTCTTTCCAGTTCTGAGAACACGTGGGGATGCATCAGAAGCACACAACCAACTTTACCACCCAGTGCTTCAGCCGGGACAGGTAGAGTGCTCTTACCAACAAAACAGACGCTGTCCCCGGCTGTTTCATGGTGGCTTTATCTGGTTTCAAATTGATTAAAGGCATTTGTTTTTGTTTGAAACGAAAGGGAAAAGAATAAATGAGTAACAGCCAGTAGCCACCCTAAATTGCTATCAACTGTTCTGCAGTGAAGCCGAAGAGGGAAGCATTCTTTTTTACAATCAGGCAGCTTTCCCATATTAAAGTTACTGTGTGTTTTAGAAGACAGCCAGAGTTTTACTGGCTTTTCCAGATAATTGTAAAGATACTACACGTATTCCAAAAAAACAAACAAACAAAAAAAAAACAAAAAAAAGATACTACACGTATCGAGGACGGTTGGCAATTTTTGGAATCTTAAAAAAATCTAGTTTTGAGATCAAAGCACTTGTTCATAATTGCAACGTTCTTGGACCCTTCCCTGGCTCCCCACCCTCCCTCCAGAAGCAAACGCAACTGGAAGAATTTCTGTCAGAAACACATGGAAGCCCTCTGATTCTCTTACTATTTTTGACACATCCAGGCACCCTTAAATTAGTCTCATTTTTCTTTCCCTACTCATCCTTGAAATAGAAGCCTATCTAAGCTTATTATCTCCTCCCAAATACTATGGCTGGGTTCTCTTTGGCACTGGCACATCTTCATGGTATTGAACCCTCTTTTTACATCTTAAATTGAGATATATAACCTTGGCCTCCTGGTATTTCAACAGGTTTCTCTGCTCAGCTGCTATGAGAACCTGCCTTTACCCCTCCAAATTATAGACCATTTTCTCTAGAAGAATCTCCCGATGTCTCCTTTCATCTTTTCTATCTGCACAGTGGCAGAATGGTCTTGTAGCTTGGGTCCTGTGGGTGCTTTATATAGGTTGGTTTCTCATCTTTAGGCTTGTTTTCATGCTACAAAGTGCCTTGGTGGCTAATGGAGGGGAATTTGGAGCTTTGACACTACCTGGGCTGATGATGCCAATGATGGACCCAGGTTGAAAAGAACACAGTTCCTGCAGACTCTCAGTTTTCTCTTAACTTTACCTCCTCCAAATCTGCCTGTTAATGCAGTGTCTGGCCTCCTAACCAAAGAGAACTTTCCAGAAACTTAAGAAGTAGAGATATCAAAGCTATCTCTTGCAAATCTGAAGATTAAAATGTACTAACTTTTTTTTCTTTTCCCCTTTAATGTGATTTCCTGTGGGAACTTCCTCTCCTGTTAACAGAATGGAGGTAAGATAGCACTGTGACATCAATGTTTTGTTGTGGTGGTTTTTGTCTGACCTGCCCTTTATTGCTATTTGCTGAGTACTGTAATCTTTCAAAAACTTTCTAATTTCTAATCCTTTTCATACTCTTACAAGATGATAAGATAGGTCATCTATTGAATACTTACTGTGTATGAGACACTGTGCTAAGAGCTTTACATGCATTATTTAAATTTATCCTCAGGACATCCATATGAAACAGGTACTATTATTATCTCTATTGTACAGAAAAGAAACTAAGAGTTTTCTTTGAAATGGAGAGTTCCAGTGACTTACACAAAGGGTAAGTGATAGGCTTGGAAACTGAACCCAGAACTGACTACCCAATTTTCCCTCATAACTTTATCTTGTAGATAAGAAAGTGTTACATTGTAATATAACATTTTGCAACGTACAGTGTTTTATTTTCAGTAAAAATGACTTTCATAAAAAACCTACGAAGTGTCATAACTGTTTTTACCTAATTTTACAAGCAATGAAACTGAGATTCAGAATGATTAAGTAGGTAATAACAGTAACAATGACAATAGCAGCTAAGTTTGTGGTACATTTATGATCACCATTTTTCTCACTTTAACATTTCAGTGACTTTATGGGGCAAGACCTATTATCATCCCTATTTTTTAATATGAGGAACCTGATGCACTAGGAGTTGCCCAGACCACACAGCTTGCAAACTATCAAACCTCAATCTGAGCTCAGGTAGACAGACTCAAAAACTCAGATTTGATAACTACTGCACTAACCCAGATAGCAGAGTAACTGAGCGGGACCTAGAACTCCAACCACTGAGTCTAATTCCATGGAATAAAGTAATTCATCGCATAAGAAAATTTGGTTAATTCTTAATATTGTGCCAATTCATGCAGCTTTGATGCATTCATTCACTTACCACAGTTCTTTTTTTTTTTAAGAGTTTATTTATTTGAGAGAGTGAGAGATTGAAAGCACAAGCAGTGGGGAGGGGGAGAGGGAGAAGGAGACTACCGCTGAGCAGGGAGCTTGATGCGGGACAGGATCCCAGGACTCTGGGATCATGACCTGAGCCGAAGGCAGACGCTTAACTGACTGAGCCACCCAGGCATCCCCACTTATCACAGTTCTAAGAGACAGTCCTGTCCTCAAGGACTCTACAGTGAAACTGAGTATCTACCGAACAGATACACAACCTAAATGTGGTAAAAGTTAAATTAAAATGTAGGCCGCCAAGAAAAGAGATGCCATCTTTCCCTCACATGCCATTCAGCACTCCTGTCCTTCCAATGCATTTTTAAACCACTCACTCTATTTCTGGCACTATATTGGAAAGCAGAAAAGCTGTTTTAACTTGTATGTATTCACTGCCCCCAAGTAATTTACATTTTACTAGGTGCACATGTACACACACAACATAATAATGGAAGCATGGACAAAATCCAAGGACTCAAGGACAGAAACAGATCACTCAAATGCAAGTAAATGCAAATTTCTGGCACTATATTGGAAAGCAGAAAAGTTGTGTTTTGGTTTTTTTTAAGATTTTATTTATTTATTTGACAGAGAGAGAGAGAAAGCACAAGTAGGCAGAGAGGCAGGCAGAGGGAGAGGGAGAAGCAGGCTCTCCACTGAGCAGGGAGCCCGATGTGGGGCTCGATCCCAGGACTCTGGGATCACGACTCGAGCTGAAGGCAGCCGCTCAACCGACTGAGCCACCCAGGCGCCCCAGCAGAAAAGTTGTTTTAACTTGTATGTATTCACTGCTCCCAAGTAATTTACATTTTACTAGGTGCACATGGACACACACAACATAATAATGGAAGCATGGACAAAGTCCAAGGACTCAAGGTCAGAAACTGATCACTCAAATGCAAGTAAATGCAAATGAGAAATCAAAAACCCATTAGTAGTCAGTACACTAAAAAAAACCCACACAGTTTTTCACTTGTGATAACACGAGCACTCTCAAACCGCTGGTAGAGAGGAAACTGCTATAACCTCTCTAAATAGCATTTGGCAGTTTTTATTAGGAGCCTTAGGATCATTGTATCTACTGATTGGCTAAATCCAGTTTTAATAATCTATGTTAAGGAAATAATAAGTGTATGAACAACAAAATTGAAAACAACACCATATTTATTAACAAAATTTATGAGCAATGTCAGTATCTACCAATAAGGGAAATTGGTGTGATTAAAAACCATGCTTTTGAAAAATATAATAGCACAGGCAAATGTTCAATTATATTAATTCTCATTAATTATATTATTAATAATGCTTATAATCATGCTAAATAAAAATGCAGGATACAAAAGTACATTGACAGAATAATTCTAAATATACTGTATATATAACTATATAGTATGTATATACACTATATATAGTATATATAACCTTGTATGTATTATACTCATGTATATACTGATTATAACTGATATATGTACAAATATATACAATATATACAGTGTTTATGTATTTGGCTGATATAATTTTCAAATTTTTTAAAATTAAAAATGTTTTCTTCTTTACATCATCATTTTTTACATCTTTATTTTACACAAAAACTAGGTACTGATTTTAGTCAGAAGAACTACAAGAGATGTTTTTCAGAGGCAACCATGTCCTTGAGGACACTGGGTTTGGCATTTCAGATAAATGACAATCTATGTCTTAGAGCAGGGGTTGGAAACCCTTTTTCCATAAAGGGCCAGATATTAAATATATTTGGCTTTTCATATACAGGCTCCATTGCAGCTGCTCAGCTCTGCTATTACACACAAAAGCAGCCACAGACAATTCATAAATGGCTGAACATGGCTCCGTTCCACTAAAGCATTACTGTGGACACCGAAGCTTGAATTTCATATAATTTTCACTTCTCCTGATTTTTTTCAACCGCTTAAAAATGTAAACACCATTCTTAGCTCACAGGCAGTATAACGACAGGCAGAGGGTGGAACTTGACTTGTGGATTTTATTTGCTGACCCCAGCCTTAGGGAATGAACCGTACACAAAGACAGTAGGCATGGAAGAATAAAAACAATTCCAGTTTGCTTTGGGGATTGGCAGTGTAGAACCCCGTCATCACACTTGCTGGGAAAGCACAGTGGCTGTAGGCAGTTGCTATATAAGGAAAGACCTGTCTGTACAGTAGTCCCCCCTTATCCACGGGTGATACGTTCCAAGACCCCCAGTGGATGCCTGAAACCATGCATAGTACGGAACTCTACAGACACTATAGCTATTATAAAGTTTAATTTATAAATTAGGCATAGGAAGAGATTAACAGTAATAAAACAATAGAACTAATCTAACAATATACTGTAATAAAAGTTGTGAATGTGGCCTCTCAAAATACCATACTGTACTCACCCCTCCTGTGATGATGCAAGATGAGAATATGCTTGCGAGATGAGACAAAGTGAGGTGAGTGATGCAGGTGTTATGACCTAGTGGGAGGCTACCTGTGACCTTCCCACGGTGTGTCAGGAGGAGGAGCCTCTGCCTCTGGACTGTGGCTGACCCAGGGTGACTGAAACCAGGGAAAGCGAAACCGTGGAGAAGGAGCAAGTACTGTGCCAGAGGACAGGTAGAGTTCTCAGGTGCGCCACCCCTAAGGAGGGTGGGAAAAGCTGTGCGAGTTTCCCCTGGAGGCGTGGGGTTGCTTTAACCCAAACCAGCCTCAGCTGGTCGTCTGGATATGCCCTTGGACAAAGTACTATGTGTTCAAAGGGAATAGAGGTCTCCCTCATAGAAACTGCAAGATCACATTGAAAAATGCTCTGCTGGATGTGGTTCATATCTGCTGAAGCACAGAGAAGTAAGAGTAAAAAGTGTAGGGAGAATCCTTTAAATATTCAATTTGACGAAGCAGAGTTGTCTTTTAAGGAGGGACTTGAGATCATATATCCACCGTTGCTGCTAAAAAGAAACACTTTACAGAAAGGAAGGTCAGCCAGGTTTCATTTGTCAGGAGGCAAGAAAGGGACTGGCTCCATGTGCAATATGAACTAGCATTTTTGGAGCTTGTCCGGCAGACCGTTCCAAAATAACCAGCATTCTGTGAACAGATCCCTGTGACCTCTGCCCTGCTGTTCGAAGGACCAGCAGGACCAGCTGCTTCTGGTACTTCTCCACTGGCAGTTCCAAGAACTGTGAGCAGAGGAACCCAACTTCAGTTGGACAGTTCACTTGCAAAAGATAGCAGAAGACACCAGTGGAAGTTCTTTGCATTCATCTTGTCTCCCAGTTTTTGCTGTGAGCTTCTTTTAAATTTTTTAAGTGATAGGGTTAGGAGGATGAGGGACCATGGCCCCATATGCCTCCATGTCTTGCCTCTGAAATTTGATCACTATGAAAAATTAGAGGTTTATGAGTCTGCAAAAGAGGAGAGGAAAAGGAAAAGGAAGTTGTTTAAACTCTGAAAGTGTGACTGGGCAGTCTCTATATATGTATATGTGTATGCATATATATATGTTATATATGTGTGTATATGTAATACATATGTACTTGGCCCTGTATATTTTTTACCTTGTAGAGCTGATCTTAGCATAGATATACTTCCAAGGCTAAGTCTTTAATGCTCCTAGGAACATCACAGAGGCATAGAAAATTAATAAGAACCATACACTTTATATTTTGTCTTTTCCCAGCATGCAACGGCAGAAAGAAGAACCAAAATTACAAACCAAGAGCTCATTTTTATTCAAAACCTATTCTTTTTTTCCTGTTTTCTTCTTTCTTCTTTTACATTATATAGCTACTAAATAAATGAGGACCCAGTACTATCAGGCCAACAGAGGCTGTTCCAAAGATTTTTCTAGGGCATTTATTAAGAAAGGCAGCAGACATACACAAAGAGAGATTGATTATTAATTGTCAATAATCCTTATTTTTTTTTTAAAGATTTTTTTTTTATTTATTTATTTGACAGAGAGAGAGAGACACAGCGAGAGAGGGGACACAAGCAGGGGGAGTGGGAGAGGGAGACCAGGCTTCCCGCTGAGCAGGGAGCCCGATGCGGGGCTCGATCCCAGGAACCTGGGATCATGACCCGAGCTGAAGGCAGACGCTCAATGACTGAGCCACCCAGGCGCCCCAATAATCCTTATTTTTGAAGCTATTTTTATTAATTTTTCTTTTGTGTACCTTTTCTGGGTTTTTCTTTTTTTTGCTTGTATTATTAAAGGAAAAATCAATGTTTTTTAATTTAAAAAATACTTATGGAAAAATACAGTCAGTCAATGGTTAACACAGGACAGCAGAACCTGGATGAATAATTCTCAGTTCAGAGGCACTCGGGGAAATATTTAACTTTTACATGATGCAGTTTTTATGTTAAATGAAAAGAATCCCACCTGGTTTTATCTATCCCCCCTTTATACCAAGATATTATATTAATATGTGAGACCATTTAGTCAACCAGTTTGAAGTACTTCTGGTTATTAGATATTATTCTTCAGTTTCTTAAAGTACAGCATCCTTGCCTTTCTTGAACTTTCTTAGTGTTATCACAGACCAGATTTCCCTAAGAGGCTGGGGCGTAAGCTATTTCTCTGGGTTTTTGCTCAACCTTACCTGGCCCAAGTTTTCATGACAGCTTCGTGTTTTCTTATTTGAGGCATTCATTTCTAAAACAAACTACAAACTACAGGTAATGTAATAAAATTCGTATTGGAGGGACACCTGGGTGGCTCAGTCAGTTAAGCATCCGCCTTCGGCTCAGGTCATGATCCAGGATCCTGGGATCGGGTGCCACATTGGGGTCCCTGCTCAGCGGGGAGCCTGCTTCTCCCTCTGCTCGTGCTCTGACAAAGAAATAAAATCTTTTTTAAAAATTAAAAAGAGTAAAAATAAAATAATTCATGTTGGCTAATTAGTAAAAGGCTAGTCTGAATTAGAGGAAGATTCTATATTATGAAACATAATTTCAAAATATGGTATTTCTTGAAAGTTCATCATTTTACCTGATAAGGTACATAAGCTGTATGCCATTTAATAGATTTGAACACTATAGTCAGCCATGGTTTCTAATTCAGGTATCAATTGTTCGGATTCAAATGGGTTCTCCTAACAATTAAAAAATTTCTCACAAATTCCAATTTAACTCTCTTACCTTAAAATCCTTTATATAAAGACAATGAAATGTGAAATTCCAACAACTGTACAAATCTAAATGAGCATACAACTCTTTTTTTTTTTTAAAGATTTTATTTATTTATTTGACAGAGAGAGACACAGCGAGAGAGGGAACACAAGCAGGGGGAGTGGGAGAGGGAGAAGCAGGCTTCCCGCGGAGCAGGGATCCAGATGCGGGGCTCGATCCCAGGACCCTGGGATCACGACCTGAGCCGAAGGCAGACGCTTAACTGACTGAGCCACCCAGGCGCCCCGACAACTTTGTCATTGTTAACAAGAGAGATCTGATGGAAGGCATAAGAATATGTTGAGACCGTCACAGTGTATACACATAATAAGTGCTCAATAAATATTTGTCGGGTGAGCATAGGAGTTATTACTATAATCCCCAGCATTCTGTTAGGGGGCAGTGGATATGTGTAGAGAGTACCAGCAGTATTTTTCATTCTCCCTCTCATTCTCTTCAGTTGTTACAGCAGATAAGCTTTTAATCTTATTTTTGTGCTAGCACTATACAATTTAGGTCTTTTCCTCATGTATTACCCATTAACACACGATCTGAGTTCAGAATAATTGCTTACATCACTCAACAGATTAGGCCCTTGGGGCTCTGAGTGACCAGATGACTTTCCCCAAGTCATGTGATGAGAAAATAGTAAAGCTGAAGATCTACTTAGCTCCTTTGAGAGCCTGATCCCAAGCTTCCTCCTCCCTAAGTGACTTTTAGTCTTTAATGAAATGCTGGGAAGGTGTGTGAGTGAGAGAATTTGGGTACAGGAGGTGTCACAAAGATGTATGTGTTCTATAAAATTCAGGGACTTAACTATCATAACACATAAATAAACTATGCTCAAAAAGCTGGGTCACCACAATTGTTATGTTCAATCATTTGTTAATTGTCACGATGTATATGTTTTTTAGGTGCACTTTACTTGTTGAAATCAGCTCCATTTGTAAGAAGCATATGAAGTGCCTTAACCAAGAGTAGTTAAATTCTATTTATAATGTAAAATAGTAAAACTACCCAAATCTATTCAGTCCTTGATAGTTCCCAAAGCTTTCCACATCCATTATCACATATGACCCTCATAATAACCCTCTGGAGTAGCTGGAGGTGATGGAATTATAGCTGGGAAGGGAGACAGTATTCAGACAGAACATTTCAGCCAAATTGCTAGTACAATCTTCTCCTATTGCTGTGATGCAGAGGTGGAAATAAAAAATTAAAAAAAAAAAAAAAACCAACCCAGACTGAATGCTAAGACATAGCATGTGATGGAGAACATTGTTCATTTCTTCTTTCAGTAAACTACAGAAAGATAACAAAGGCTACTGCGCCCAGTACAGAGGGGAGGTGTGTAATGCTGTCCTGGCCAAAGACGCTCTTGTTTTCTTCAACAACTCCCATGCAGACCCTGAGGAGGCCCAAGAACTACTGGTTCATACTGCCTGGAATGAACTGAAAGCAGTGAGCCCATTTTGCCGGCCAGCTGCTGAGGCTTTGCTGTGTAACTACATCTTCCAAGGCTGCAACCCTGGGCTAGTGCCTATTCCTACACCCATTTGCAGGTACAATAAAAAAAAGAAAGAAGTGGGAAAATTCTGTTGGATGCAAACAGGAAGAGATTTCAAAAGAAGCTGTCATGTGCTATGATAAACGCAAAAGGTGGCTTTTGTCCAAAACAGAAAGTAATTAATTGGACAGAATTCCTACCATGTAAATCACTGATGACATCCTATAATACAAGGGCTCTGAGCTCCTAGAAAATGTCATAAGAGGTATAATACTCTATTCTACTTGTTACTGTTCACACTATCATATTCATAAATATTCCAGCTTTCTATGAAATAAAAAAAAAGCACAAACGTGGACCTCATTAGTAAGCTACAATAGAGAAGAAAAAAGGTCCATTTCCAATGTTTCAGCACTATTGGCCAATGAATATGAGATCTTGGTGAGCATTTCAGAATACTACTTTCTGTAATATGTATATTATTTTACAATACATTCCACCCGATGTTCTAATTTAAATACTAACAGTCTTTCTCATGGCGGGGGGGGGGGGGGGGATGGTAATAAATAGTTATTTCTTTTAAAATCCCCGTACTCTTTAAACATAGAAATTCATAAACCCATGTTTGATAGAATTATCTTGCCTTTATTTACTTCTTATGTAGGAAAGACAGGACTCAAACTGGCTTTTGAGCCAAGCAGAACAAAGGTGAAACACTGTACCACTTGCTAGATACATGTAATCTTGGCTAACCTTCAGTTTCCTCATCTGCAAAACAGAGAGGATTAAAGGATAAACTGTCCTCATGGTATACGTTAGAAACTGGACAGATACTGTTTTCTTCTGAAGAAAACACATGAAAACTATCAACACATTTCCACCTCTGTTTTGATAAAACCAGAAAATACTGAAATATTGACATAATCATAGGGCCATGAGGTCATTAAAATAGAATGCTCCATTCCTCAACTCACTGCAAATTTTGAGGGTTTGGAGAAATTGTTAAGAGGAATATAACTTATTTCTTCACCCAAGAAGGTTATATTTTCATCAGACATGACAGCTAAGTATCTCTTGAGGAACAATCAGAATTAAAATTGAATTGTACCTTTGTATGCTAGCACAAAATAAATTTATGAGTAACTTTCCAACATGTATGTCCTAGGCCAGTTTACATGCAAGAGCCACAGATGTTCTTTTTAAGATTAAGAATAATTTACTTTTTTGTTTTTTTTTTAAGATTAAAAAAATCCCTTTCAATGAGACTTCAAATTTATTAGGATGGCATAGTTAATCATCTCCTAAATCTTTAAGTCAATTGTAGTATACTTAAAAAAATTTTTTTCCTTATACCTTCTGTTTGCCTTCCAAGTTGCTCAAAGGTCTTCAACCATTTTGTGTTTCTAGCTATTTCTAGTTATTTGTGAGATTTTTAAAAGCATTCTATTACTCATGGTTTTCTTCTCTTTTTCTCTTTTTTTTTGGTTTCAGGAGTAGAATTCAGTGATTCATCATTTACATGTAACACTCAGGGCTCATCATAACAAGTGCCCTCCTTAATCCCCATCACGCATCTAGCCCATCCTCCCCCTAACCCCCTCTATCAACCCTGAATTTGTTCTCTATCTTTAAGAGTCTCTTATGGTTTGTTTCTCTCTTTATTTTCACCCCCGCCAGTATGTTCATCTGTTTTGTTTCTTAAATTCCACATATACTCATGGTCTTCTAATCATAAATAGTAATTAAATAATTTGTGCAACTTTCCATGAATGACAAAGAATTTCTTTTATTTGACAAATATTTATTGAGCTTCTGTCTCTAAGCCCTATTCTAGAGCATTTGTTTGTGGGGCTTACATTCTAGCAGGCGAAGACCATGAGCAAGAGAAGAAAAAAATGAGCACGAGGTTAAGGGAGATGAGGAGTGCCAAGGATGGAGGATACAGTTGTGATTTTAAAAATAGGGTGTTGAGGGGCGCCTGGGTGGCTCAGATTGTTAAGCGTCTGCCTTCGGCTCAGGTCATGATCCCAGGGTCCTGGGATCGAGTCCCGCATCAGCCTTCCTGCTCCTTGGGAGCCTGCTTCTCCCTCTGCTTCTCTCTCTCTCTGTCTCTCATGAATAAATAAATAAAATCTTTAAAAAAAAAAAATAGGGTGTTGAGGGTAGGCCTAATTAAGTTAAACAAAATTTTACTGAATACTCTACACTTGATCTTTGAAATGTTATCTGGAATTGTAAAACAGGTTAGTATTATTCAACTGTGTTTTATTTGCCAATGATCAAATTTTAGACCATTATTTTTAGCTTTTACATTTGATTACATAATCCTATATACAACTACCTGGTGTAGATCTCTGTTACTTATCCCTGATGCTAACTGTCATTCATATCAGAAAATCTTTCTTTTTCTTAAATTCTCAATTTTTATTCATCTCTTGTTCAGCTGGAGTAGGTGTTTTTTAGATTACATGTAAAAAACTTTTTACTATAATCTTATGTGTGTATGTGTGTGTTTCTGACTATTTAAGTCTTGTGTTACATTTAATTTTCCTGAAAATCTTATACACTAATTGTTTTTTGGCTGTGTTGTAATGAAGAACATATAATTTTGTTCCTTTGGAGGGAATATTTTTTTTCTTGCCAAATGGTAGGAGGATTATTTTTTCATCTTTGAGATTCAAAATATTTGTAAAATTCATCTGGGAGTAATCCTCTTTTCATTATTTTCTTTCCTACCAATAATACAAAAATAATGGATAATGTGCCTTAATTATCAGGTTTACATCCTTTTTGTCCTAAGAATGTTTTCTTTTAGTATATCTTTGAGTATTTTCATTTTTTTTTATGTACTCTAGTTTTCTTATTGGGAAACATTATCTATACTCTGGATTTCTTGCCAGCTCTTCCCCCTCAGCTGTCTCCTCACACAACATTTTCACCCTTCCTTCTTTCTGTCTGCATTCAGTTCAGACTTGTCAAGTTTTCCCATGATTTGTCCAATGTCTTGCAGTGCCACTTCTTTATGGTTTTTAATGACAATTTTAAGTCCTTTGGTGTCCCTTTCACTTCTTTGTGGTCTTTATTTTCTTCAGTTGCTACTATGTTCAAGTTAACTTAGTTTTCAGTTTATTTTCCATTTCATCCTGATTTTTTTCCCTGTGAAAAACTCTTCTATAGCAGTCATCTTTAATACATGTCAATGAAAACAAAGCAAAACAAACAAAAATTTTTCTCATATGTGCTTCTGCTTAGAGTAAAAAAATAACTTTCCAGGGTATTTACTTCCTCCACATAATGTGGGCTACAGAATTTTTTTCACCTGCCCCATATTATTTTTGCACAGTTTAACAGTGCTGTCTGAATGTAGAAAATTGCCTTTGTGTGACCCAAGGGTGGGACCCAGACGTAAGAAGCAAGCTAAGCAATGTTCCTCTGGTTCTTCAAGTTCTCAGAATCCTTGAAAGCCCCACTGCTCTCCCTTCCATTACAGATACATCAAGAATTCTAAATCCTATTGTTGTTCTTATGACCACACTGTATCCTATCACAGTCATATGCATGACCCTTTCATTCCACACATGTTCAGTTGGCCCATATTGACAGGTGGTTGCCCAGAAAAGTGGCAGTGTAGGCATGAGTATTTTTAAAAAGATATCACTGTGACATATATATGTCACAATGCATATGCATACACACATACACATATACATACACAATTTCCTCCTCTCTGAATCCTTTAGATACTAAATGAGCAACATTGCTATTATCTCCAATTTCTTCAATAATCTTTAATTTCCTTTTATTTTTAATCCCAAATATTTTAATTTGGAGTTAACCAGTTTTTTCCTATAAAGTCTATCTTATTTTCTATAGGGTAAGCTTAAACAAATATTCATGCACAAAATTCTGATTAGTCCAACTAGTCTTTCTTCAGCCTCTTCACTGGTAATAAAACACATGGACGAACATAACATTTCATATTTAAATAGACTAAATTACTCTGGCTTTCTCAGATGGAAGCACACACAGCAATGGGATAGGAGGCAGCTTCTCCCCAAGGCGAGGTGGGTAAGGACCCATATGCCTTCCTATAACCTGCCAGGAAGGTGGTGCTCTTCTGTTTTGGTGGATGAAGTATGAAGAGGTGTCAACTGTACCCTTCAGTCCCCACCCATTAGCCTTAAGATTATAGAAAAATCTCTCAGGCTAGAAACTGATCAACAATGATCTATGACTTTAATTATGTGTTTTTTAAACTCTATGTACCTGTTTCTGTCCCTTTGTAGTTATTTTAATATGAATTTGAGAGAATGCATATTAGGGATTCCTAAACTGTTACCTCTTGAACTTCAAAATTCTTTTCCCCCAGGAGCATTAACTATGCTTTCAAAACAAAACAAGATAGCATTTCATCTCAGGGATAATATGCTATCTTTCATAAAGTCTCACATTATTTACAATAAAAGGATCCTTCCAAAAACACTTTTGCAAGAACAGACAATGTACTAATGGTGATGTTTTGAAAATACAGAATCTAGGCTCTGCCACAAATTTGGCCTTAATATGCTATGATTCATCGAGTTTTGTTCTCCATAAAATATTCTAGAGAATATTGCCTGGCAGTAAAGGAGCTCTTCTGTGCAAAAGAGTGGCTGGCAATGGAAGAAAAGACTCACAGAGGACTCTACATATCTGGGATGCACCTGCTCTCTGTGCCAGATTGCAACAAGCTCCCCAGCATGCACTGGGATCCCATGGCCTGCACCAGACTGCCATATTTAGGTAACAGAGTTCTCTCAAGACTTCAGAGGTTAAGACAAATTTACTATTTTAAAGAAACTAAGTTGTGAACTTAAATCTCCCAATATTTCTAGGCATTTCTAATGTATTTTTTGAGTTCTGCCCTTTTTAGATATCTAATCACAGAATCCTACTGTCTATCCTAATTGCCCAAGTTAACATTAGGGTTTAATTTCATTTGTTCAAAAAGAAATTAAGGAGCACTTTTAACTGCTGCTTAAGATCTTATTTTGTAAGGGAATCTTATGAGAGCTTGTAACATTTTTTGGAATGTGCAGAGAAATGGCTAAGAAACCTCATATTATGTCAGATGAGTGGAATAAAAGAATAAAGTCCCCCTTCTTAGCCAACAAAGCAGATTTCTAAGCATGCAAAAATAAGCCACATGGTTGAAAATGCTGATCTCACAAAACAAAGCTGAATCTCTGCATGCTGTTTAATGAACTTCATTTGGAAGGAACTATGTTGTTAGCCCTAACAGCTGGTTTAATTTCAATGACACAATCCTCTCTTATTTGAATGCAAAGAATGTTTTCCAGTTGTATACTGAAAAACTAAAAGAGAACTCGCATTTCTTAGCACTCTCTCACAGAATATGTGAGGTATCTGGATGCTCATTAAAAACAAATTTTTATCCTTTCCCCCTCAGATTATAAAAAGGAAAACTTAACAAGTAAGTAATTTTATTTGTGCCCTTGAACCCTTATGTGTATGTAATCGGATTCATGCATGCGTATTTACACTCATACTTCATGATGTCCAGAACAGAATGTACAGCCCCTCTCAAAGATTTTTTTGCTATGCTTACTGGTGTAAAACATGAAGGAAGATCATCAGAAACCTCAGCTTACAGCTCCCAATTAGGCCATGAAGAGCACCGTATTTACTGAATGATACAAATAATATCCCCTACCCCGAGGTTATAACTTGCTTGATCCTTTCTATGGCTACAAAATAAGCCAAACTGAAAATGTCACCTTTTGATTTTGCATTTTTGATTTTTATATCATCTAATTATTTACAGATGAAAACAAATATTTATTTCTTCATTGAGCCAATTCATGATCCTCATTTGTAACAACAGATCTTTCTTTTGAAGATAGGTGTTTTTTTAAGACAGCTAATTACCAGTATAAAGTTTACAGGGTCAAATCAAAACAGTTTTAAAACTGGGTGCCTCAAAATCCCTAGGAAAGAATTCAAGAAGGTTGCTTGGAAAGAGATGTCCTAGACACAAAGTTGTATCCAATGATGCTTTAACCTACCAGAATGCAGAAATCTTCAGAATGAAATTAGAAAAGTTTTCATTTTAATTAACTTCCTCTGATTTGAGTGTTCTAAGGTTTAAATCGTAATCATTTCCTGTGATCTATCTTCGGGGCCTAATTGCCTCTGTACCTGGCTAAGAGCCAGGCCTTGATTTTACCAGCTTCCTTCAAGGACTAAGACTTAAAGTATTAAAAGAAAAAATGCTACTGGTCCCACTTGAATGGCTCAGTGTTAATAAACAAGAGCAGTATGGAAACCCTAAAAATCTATTATTCTGGAAGCCTGTCAAATTGTTATTTCCAAATTGAAGGAATGAAAAAGAAATGCTTCAATTCTTTGTTATATAAGCAGCTAAAGTTTAGTTTGATTGGACTTTTAACTGGTGACTGTGGTCTTTGTTATCCTTTGATTGTTTACTCATTCATCCATTCAGGCATTCATTCTACTCTGTGGAAGGTGCTGACCTTCAGTCCTAGACTAGACAGGAACGAACACACACACAAAATCCATATTTTTGCCTCATATACTTATTCTAAAAAATTGTGAACAGCATAAATTAGCTACAGTAAGCCAATTTCCTACTCTTTTTTTACATATTTTTTTTTTTTTTATTCTTATGTTAATCCCCATACATTACATCATTAGTTCTAGATGAAGTGTTCCATGATTCATTGTTCGTGCACAACACCCAGTGCTCCATGCAGAACGTGCCCTCCTCAACACCCACCACCAGGCCAACCCATCCTCCCACCCCCCTCCCCTCTAGAACCCTCAGTTTGTTTTTCAGAGTCCATCTTCTCTCATGGTTCGTCCACCCCTCCGATTTCCCCCGCTTCATTCCTCCCCTCCCGCTACCTTCTTCTTTTTTTTTTTTCTTAACATATCTTGCATTATTTGTCTCAGAGGTACAGATCTGAGATTCAACAGTCCTGCACAATTCACAGCGCTTAACAGAGCACGTACCCTCCCCAGTGTCTATCACCCAGTCACCCCATCCCTCCCACCCCACCCCCCACTCCAACAACACTCAGTTTGTTTCCTGCAATTAAGAATTCCTCATATCAATGAGATCATATGATACATGTCTTTCTCTGTTTGACTTATTTCACTCAACATAATACCCTCCAGTTCCATCCACGTCGTTGCAAATGGCAAGATCTCATTCCTTTTGATGGCTGCATAATATTCCATTGTATATATATACCACATCTTCTTTATCCAGTCATCTGTCGATGGACATCTTGGCTCTTTCCACAGTTTAAGCCAATTTCCTACTCTTAAAAACCTAGTTTTATGAAATCTTTGGTACATGTAAGAAAATGAACAGCAAATGTCATCAACAGATCATTTCACTTGACCACGTAACAGGGAATGTCTGAAAGTGTGCTCCCTGGCTAAATGCAATTATTATTGAAGAAATTGGCTTGAGCCTTTCAGGTAGGTTGATAGTTAAGCAAAGAAGGCATCCTGATTAGGTAGAGTATCCCATATTTTGTGGCGTGTATAAAGCCCTCAAATATTTCTTGAAGAGTTACTTGATTTCTGAGTAAACTCTAAAGGATATCACCAGTTGACTTTGAAGGGTGATGGAAGATTTTTTTTTTTTTTTTTGCTTGAACACACAGAGTAGAATTTCAGTAGTTTTCATTTTTATAACTTTTTTTTTTTTTTTTTGCTGAGGTAAAATATCTTTTTGAGCTTGCAACGTCTTTGCACTATTTACTTTGTCTCTTTAGCAGGCATTTCACTATTCCTGAATTCAATAGGGCTGTACACATTTTATGTTTTTCCTCAGATGGGTTTGTGGGTGACAGAGCCCAGGTATCCCAACAGATCTTCAGATTCGCTTTCTCTCACCTGAATAGTTGAAAGCTATATTAGCTGGATACATTCTTGAGTGACATTCCTCTTCTCTCAGTAATCTACAGATGTCATTTCACTCCTTTCTAGCTTCTAGTTTTGAAAATGACTGGTCATCCGGTATGAGTCTGGTTACTTTTTCCTATAAGCAATTTGCTGCTTCTGTTTAGAAAGAAACTTTGAGATTTTTCTCTTTATCCCTGTTATCTGCATGGTGGAAATCCTATATAATGGTGTGTTACTGAACATCTCTTTCCAACTCTGGAAAGTCCAGTATTCAGGACTTTGTCCTGGTAGCGTGAAATCAGCAAGGGAAGTCAGGCTGCAGGCAGGCAAATGATCTTTCTGAAGCAAAAAGCTGATCATGCTACTCCACCAATGCTAATCCCACTGATGATTCTCTCCATTTACTGCAGGGCAAAGTCCAAATTATCTACCTTGGCATGCAAGGCCTTTTATGACCCAGACCCAGTATCTGCAGCCCTACCTATACACAGTCCCCCAGTCAACAAGGAAACTTTTAGGTGCACCTTTAGGAAAGCACCACAACTGCTTGGTTTGGACCCTGAGATATGCTATTCCTTCTTTGTGGAATACTACCCCCCTCCCCGCCCCCCTCTCCTCCTGCTCCACCCACACACATACACCTTCAACTGGTTATTCCCTATTCAACCTTTACACTTAACTTAAAATTATTCATTTTAGAAAACCTACCTAGTATGCCTAGACCTGGAGTTGAGTTGCCCCTGGATGTTCACAAGCTTTCAGTCTTATAACACTTCCTACATTCTATTATAATTATCGATTTACTAATTGTTTCCCAGCTAAATACTTGAACACAAAGACTTGTCATGTCCACCACAGTATTCTTGATACCCAACATCAATGTTAACTTAGTGAATACATTAATGTATGGATGAATAAGTGAATAAAAATTCCCCTGATGTTCAAAGGGAAAGGGTAGAGATAAAATTGATGAGAGAAAAAAAGACAAAAAGAAGATCCAGGTTGGTAATTTGGATCCAAAGAGATAATCGATGTCACTCCAGGGAAGGCCACGGCAAACAGATCAGAAGCAATAAACAAGGAATAACAAAACTATCCAGAAAGGAAGATATAATTAAATCCACAAAGCAAAATTATTATTCAAACAATGCCAATTTTTGACTTTAAAAATAGATCTTACTAAGTCATCATGGATTATTCTCTTAATATGTCTGATATATTTTTTTAAAGATTTATTTATTTATTTTGGTGGGGGGAAGAGGGAAAAGGAGAGAGAGAATCCCAAGCAGACCTCCTGCTGAGCGTGGCGCCCGATGCGGGGCTTGATCTCACGACCCCAAGATCACCACCTGAGCCGAAATCAAGTCAGACGCTTAACCCACTGAGCCACCCAGGTGCCCCATGTCTGATATTTTTGACAAAAAATTATCCTTATATTTACTAATGAGATTACACTACCAATTTTACAAGTTACATTACATTCCCTCACGTGTTAAATATGGTTTGAACTGCCCTATAAAATCCAGGTACAAAAACAGTCACCACTTCCTGTCTTTCAATGCTTGCTCCTACTTTATTATTAGCAGGAAGTTTAGCTTTGCAATTTAAGCCCCCCTCCCCACCCATCTTGGATTGATTATTTAAAAAAAAAAAAACAAACCTTCAGATGACTCAGTCCAAAGAAAGTCAGTTCAGCTTTCAAGCCAATCATAAAGGAACCTAGGAAGTCAAAGTCCACCATTGCTATGATACCTGATAAGAAATACTGTCATTGCTCCTGCAAGAATGCACTGCTGAGCCATTCGTCCAGTTCCAGTGCCTGAGCTGATGGTCTTCCTGCCACAGCAGTGACCAAGCTTGGTCTCCACGAGCTCTAAAACCATTTGCTAGCCATTGGTGCTCAGGCCATAGAAACTGTGTCCACTCCTACATTAAAAAGTCATCCATGGGCACCCCTTGAAATCTCTGCCCACTTGTCATCACTTTTATAAGTGTCCTATTTCAAATGGCGTTAGGCATCTACTGCAATAAAAGTTTTCTTTTGACTTTGTGATGTGCTATATTAATATATTTCCTTATATCAAACACATAATTCTTTTACTATATTGCAGCCAATTGCTAACATCTCATTTAGGATTTTTTAAATCTATGTTCCTTAATCTCTGTATGCACTTTTCTTTTATGCTAACATTGCCAGGTTGTGACGTTAGTATTATAATAACTTTCTACAATAATTTGATAGATTTTTCTCGTATTGGAACATTTTATAAAATCTGGAAATTTTATCTCTTCCAAGACCAAAAGAATGTATCCATAATTCTACAATGACTTTTAAATTTCCTGGTTATAACTACCTTCAGATTTTCTGATTTTTCAAATTTGGTAAATGGTCCTAACATTTTTCTAAAGATTTAAAAAATTGTAACTGCATAATTACATATTATTGCATTTTTATTTCAATCTACTGTCATAACTCCTTTACCATTCCTAATTTTGTATGTTTGTGCCTTTCTTGTCTTTTAAAAATTAAAATTCCACTGATTAGACTACCTTATAAATGTTAAGACCAACTATTGACCTATTTTTAAATTCTACCATTTGTGGTATGTGTATTCTAACTTATTAATTTCTGCTTGTACATGGTTGTTACTTTATCAGCTATTTTTCTCTGTTTTCTGTAGTTTTTGTGTTTCTTTTCCAAAGTCTTGAGTTAAATGTCTAGCTCATTCACTTTCATCCTTTTTATCTAATGGAGAGAGATAACTCTATGAGTTTACCACCGAGCACGGCTTTGGCCAAAGCTCATATACTCTATCAGGAAGTTGTTTTGTAATCTGTCTCTATGGCTACTTTTCACTCTTTAAGTGAAAAGTTATTGAATTTTTTTTTAGATGTCCTATCGGATTTTACTTAGTCTATTGTTAATTGCATTTTAGTCAGAATAAATCCGCATAATTTCTGCTTTTGAAATTTGAGATTTATTTGTGTGGCCTGACAAAAGATCATGTCTGTCAGTATTCCGCAAATATTTGAAAACAGGGTTTATTCTCTCCATGTAGGGTACAAAGTACACTGTTTGCTATTAGAACATTCTTGTCAATTATATTATTAAGATACTCTGTATCCATGTTTTTGTCTTTACTCAGTCAATTAAAAGAATATAAAATATAAATTAATAAGTTTGTTTTAATAGATACACAGAGGACTTTGCACTCTACAGAGTGATACGAACATGGCATCTTTTGGTTTCCAGGGTAATGCAGATTTTGCCTTGTTTTCATATTGCACTGACCTTTTTAATAGGAGTTTGACAGGAGCTCAATTTTTGAATGAACTAACTTCTCATTTGTGTCCTTATATTTCCACTCTTCATCATCTTCTATTATTTTTGTTTTCTTTGTAAATCAACAGTAAATGTGTATAAAAGCTCAGCTTTTGACAATCCTGACGTCAAATACAATTTCATGAAATTATTTCATTTAATAACTTACTTAGGTCCACAATCGTCAGGTCATAAACAACATGATGCAGTGTAAAGAGCACAAGCCCAGGATCTGCATTTGTCTTGGAAGAAATAGTTCCTTTCCCTGGGTCTCGTCTTTAAAATTCTGTGTTTCTGTAAATTGGATTGACTTACAACTGGATCTCTGGATTCTTACACTTGGACTTTATAGATATATAACCAGGGAGAAACCTAATCCATGAAACCATATTCTTAAAATTAAATTTAGTTTACAAAATTTATTTGACTTCAGTGAAGACTGCTTGAATGCAAAGATTGCTTCTTAAACGTTTAAGAATGAATGAAAAGAATTTTGTTTACTTACAGCATTCCCACCCATGACATCCTCAAAGCCAAGCGTGGACATTCCAGACTTGCCTTCCTCTTCCTCTTCCTCCTTCTCTGTCTCACCTACATACTCCATGACTGTAATAATCTCCATCATGTCCAGCTTTGCCATATTTGTGCTTCTTACGGTAACTACTCTTTATTGCTGCCGAAGACGAAAACAATGGAAAAATAAGAAAAGGTGAGATTCTAATTTAAGCTAACCACATGTAGTAATATTTTAAAACTTACAAATTTAATATTGGAATTGGGGACAGGAGGAGGGATATATGTAACACTGCCAGTCTCTATGACATCCATTGCCTTGCTTTAAGATGAAGCACCCCACCATGATCTTTAAAAATATCAGTAACTTTTTGCATAGGATCACGTTCTAAGGTTAATTTTTCACAGCAGATAGGATCTAAACAATAATTTGGAAGAATATGGCTATCCCTGCTCCCCATCTGCCCCCAGCCCCAGCCCCATTGCCATGTCAGATTGGATAGTGACAAAATTCCTAAGAAAAGGTACCTTTTGACTCCCAGACCCAAGAAAATATTTCTTGCTCTAAATCTGAAGGATCTTCAGCTGCCTTAGTATAATTTGTTTTGTTTCCTCCTAACATCGTATCTCTTTAAAACCCAAGCCCGAATACAAAGATCTCACCTGATCCTGAGCTTATCATTGGTCTTCCCTGTCTTCCCTACAGAGAATCTGCGGCAGTAACCCTCACTACTCTTCCTTCTGAGCTCTTGCTAGACAGACTTCATCCCAACCCCATGTACCAGAGGATGCCACTCCTTCTCAATCCCAAATTGCTCAGCCTGGAGTACCCAAGGAATAACATTGAATATGTGAGAGATATTGGAGAGGGAGCATTTGGAAGGGTCTTTCAAGCAAGGTAAAGTTACCCATGTGAAAAATCTTTCCATGGAAGTATGTTGTGTCTGAAAAGTTACCAGACCATCACTACCTTGATGCCTGGGCTGTATGTGTGATAATTATTATCAAATAATTTTTCACATCATTAACCTCATTTTACTGAGGACTGTACCTTGAATCTTAATAATTTTTCCTCTCTGCTGAAAAACAGGGCTGGGTAGAAGGATAGAATCTTCATTTATGTAGTGTTCAAATTATGAGCAATTAGCAAAGTTTAATTATATTTCCTTTTCAGAAAATAATTTATCATACATTTAATCATAATTTCTTGCATTGTTTTTAGTAAATAATTGTAAAATTTATTTCTCTTCCATTTTCTTTTGCTGTATTCTCCACTTTGTTTAAAATCTACTTTGAACTAGTATTTCCATTTAAGAATTCAGAGCCTGACGTGTGTAGATATTAAATAGATGTCCATGGAATGGCAAAGCCAAAAAGGGGACAAAACAATGCAAAAATGACAGAAAACAATGAGCTCAAGGAAAGAGTATGTATAAGGGCCAACGCTAGCCCATTTATTGCTTCTGTGTGAATTGGAAGGAAATACCCTTTCTGCATGGATGTGGCTCACAGACACACAGCTGGGCCAGAGAATGTGGACTTGGTTTTAATCACCAACTGTCATTTTGTCCTGGTGTTGGGCAGGACACAACCTTACTGCCACTCATAGTGGCCCTGCTATGCAGGTTACATGATTAATGAAAATCTCACACAAATACTTATGGGGAACCAAATATATGCAAGGCACCATTTTAGCTTCGGAAGGATATAAAAATGAGTAAGCTATGGTCCCTGCCTTCCAGGAATTTAGATTCTGGCCAGGGATCAAAGGTTTAGGGCGGTAATGACAATCTCATTGGATCTGTGTACTTTAGAATTCCTGACGTTTACAGATAATGCATTTTTCAAACAACCTGTGTTGAAAATAGTCCCTGTGATTTTTATTAATTGGCATCCAGAAGTTTTAAGTACAGTCTACTACTGCCATTTTTCTTTGATTCTGTGGCTCTAGGAAAGGTTGCAAAAGTGGAGGGAATATATATGAATGTGGGTAGATGAATGTGGATACGTATCATGTTCCTGATCGTTGATTTCTTCCTAAATAAATGTATCTCTCAGGGCTCCAGGCTTACTTCCATATGAACCTTTCACAATGGTGGCAGTGAAGATGCTCAAAGAAGAAGCCTCAGCAGATATGCAAGCAGACTTTCAGAGGGAGGCAGCCCTCATGGCAGAGTTTGATAACCCTAACATTGTGAAACTCTTAGGTATGAAAATAGAAATGAAGACATGTATTGCATTTATTGCAATTATTTACATTTATTGCAAAACGGAGGCTTCCCAAGTTTTCCTTCTTCATCCTGCACTTGTGCCTTTTCCTTTACTTCTTCATCAGAAAGACATCTCTGTTCCTTCCCATATAATATTTTCTGCACCAGGGAGCAGAACATTGTATTAAATTACCTCAGTTCAAAAAACTGGTTTTTTTTTAATTGCTCAGAAAGATATGTTGTCATTTCTTTAATTTTCTCTCTAGAACCTACAAATACACTGATTGCTAAATCCCTGGAATTAAAAACCAGCCCCAAAATAAAAAAGCTAAGATAATGGTATTCATTATTTCTCTTCCTTTTTGAACAGACTTCTAATTTTTGCCTGAAAAAAGAATCCTAGATCTCATAATCTATTTTTACAGTGATGTGAAGTTGTGCCCAAATGATCTAATATTTCAAGGTGTCCTATTTCCCTCTCACATACAGCAAGAATTTAAGATTTGGAAATGTCCTCCTGGCACTAAATGTGAGACTCTATTTATATGAACATTTTTTTTTCTTTCTAGAACCAACATTGTACCTATATTTTGAAATGTTTCACTGAATACCTCACCTAAGATTTTGGATTGTTTTTGCCATCCTTTCCAAATTTCATACAACATCTTCCTTATCATCCTTGTCCACAGAAGGAGCAGAAACACAGAACATTACATGCTCAAAGCAAGCATCCATTCCTAAATTCACTCACCAAACACGTACCAAGCACTTGCTGTACCAGACACCTCGTAGGCGTGTGGGATTTAAAAAAAGAGTAAGACATATTTCTGCTTTCAAAGTGCTAACATGTTGGAGGAGAAACCTCAGACAAATAGGTGATTGTCACGGGATGGCAGGTCCTAGGCCGACAGAAGGAACATCTGATGGGTAGTGGGGGGAGCCCAGGCATTCTAGCGGGAGTGACAGATAAGCCGAATCTTAAAAGGAAAATGGGAGATGTTGACACAGACAAATGGGGTCAGGGTTGGACTGTGATGCTGTCCACAGAAAGCCAGGGCCCCCTGTTTTCTGGTCTTGGTCCTTGGCTTGTTAGGCACGGTAGACACCCCGCCTAACAAGGCCCGTGATGTCGGTTGCAGGCGTGTGTGCAGTCGGGAAACCCATGTGCCTGCTCTTCGAATACATGGCCTATGGCGACCTCAACGAGTTCCTCCGCAGCTTGGCCCCGCACAGCGGGTGCAGCCTCAGTTACGGCGACCTGTCCGGGAGGGCCCAGGCGTCCAGCCCTGCCCCGCCGCCCCTCTCCTGTGCCGAGCAGCTCTGCATCGCCAGGCAGGTGGCCGCCGGCATGGCTTACCTCTCCGAACGCAAGTTTGTGCACCGGGATCTGGCCACCCGGAACTGCCTGGTGGGCGAGAACATGGTGGTGAAAATCGCCGACTTCGGCCTCTCCAGGAACATCTACTCGGCGGACTACTACAAAGCCAACGAAAACGACGCCATCCCCATCCGCTGGATGCCCCCCGAGTCCATTTTCTACAACCGCTACACCACCGAGTCGGACGTGTGGGCCTACGGCGTGGTGCTGTGGGAGATCTTCTCATACGGCCTGCAGCCCTACTACGGCATGGCCCACGAGGAGGTCATCTACTACGTGCGCGACGGCCACATCCTCGCCTGCCCCGAGGACTGCCCCCTGGAGTTGTACAACCTGATGCGCCTCTGCTGGAGCAAGCTGCCCGCCGACAGGCCCAGCTTCGCCAGCATTCACCGCATCCTGCAACGGATGTGCGAGAGGGCGGAGGGGACGCTGAGCGTCTGAGGGCGCAGGGATGCCCAGGGAAATGCCGCGGTCCCCTCTCTGCCTCTCAGAGGCCCCAGCCCCGGGCCCCAGACCGGGAGGAGGGCTGGCGGACGCCAGGAGCATGCGCGGTCTGTGTCTCGGCCAGAACCGAGCCTGCGCAGAACTCACGCGGGAGCCCCACCCATCCGAAGTCCACCATTGCAAAGGCAGCCTAAGCTTCGTGTATGGAAGATGGCAGCCTCTTCGGTCCCTGAATTAGCTGGCGGCAGAGTCAGACTGTGCTGCATTAAATTTTAATACGAAATGTGATACAGAGCTTCATTTTTAATAGAGTTAATTCCCGTCCATTATGAAAGTATCTTCCTGGGAGACATTCAGGTCAAGTACAGAACGCTAAGAAGGAAAAACTATTCATTGTCTCCCCACCTAAAGATGGGTGCTGGTGTTTGTTTGTTTTTCTTATTGAATTTATTTCTCGCATTTATGCCTAATTTTATATTTGTAATCTACAGAGTTGTGGTTATACTTTATTGAGAGAGGGCTTCTAAGGAATAAAGTGACAAATTAGGCTGTATTCTGATTGTGATTTTTAGTTTCCTTTTCTGTCTCTGCTGCTTCTCCTGTGGAAGTTTTCCCTTTGTGTGCCCTTGTCATAAATTTCATCTGCTTATTTTATTCCTACAGTTTTTCTGAAAAAAACTTTGTCTCATTAATTTACCTTTTTCTTTGAAATTTTTATTGGTATCTTTTCCTTTGCTTTAATTTTATTTCTTTCACTTTCCAGGACTTTGTCTTTTTTTGGTTAGCTATTTTTTTTCTTTTTACCTCATATATACAATGAATACCCTGACAGAGTAGCAACTTTTAAAGTAACACTGTAGGATGTATGTACCTTTTGCAAAGTAATACCGTTTTCTTCTGTACTGGCTTCTGAAGCTATGCATTTCAAATTTGTCATCCATTAATTTATTGCCACAGACTATTAAATCCCTTAAACCATAGTGTACGAGATGTCACAAGATGGTCTTGTGGCTCTGAGTTATTTAAAAGTTGATGTTTTTGTGCATTCTGACATTTTTTCTTGCTAGAAACCAATACCATAGGCAGTAGAACTAATATAGTGTTATTTATCAACTTTTTGCAGGACTACTAACCCAATCTTGTTACATTTTGATTCTGGAAACAAACCAACCAATCAACCAACCAACCAACCTCCAGAACTCAGATCCCTGGTGCACAGATTTTTCAGAGGACCTGCCACATGATACATCTTTTTCTAAGGTCAACGTGAATAATATGAATTTTTTTCTGAAATGGTATGAACCCAAATTCTCCTGAAAAAACAAATAAACGGGGAAGAGAAAATAGCAATCTACTGTAGACCAACTTATTTTAATTCAAACTAATTGGTAGTTAGGACATGGAGAAATGGTCTGAATTCTTAAAAGTAGATTTTCAACTGTCTGCTGGAAGAATCCACCTGAAATCTCCAAATCTGCCTCCATGCAACAACTTGTCCTCTTTACTGGAAAACCTGCCATTTCTTGTTCATAGTCCCTCTGGGCAACCAAGACAAAAACATAGAAATTACCCTGGACTTTGCCCTCTTCTTCACCCCTGACATTCTATCAGTTTTACTTTCTAAAACCCTCCTGCTCATGTCCCTTGCCTTTCGATCCAACTGCCCATTACTCAGACTCTATCACAACCTTCCTTCCATTTCAGTCCCAAGCAGATTCCATGGCTATGACAACAGGAGGACATGCTTATTCAGAGTTCCAATTCATCATAGAGAAGTCATAATTCAGTATTGAGATGCAGAGGGGTGCTTTGGATCAAAGTCAGGATTGTAAGTCCAAAATTAAGACAGTCATCCAAAGGGCTAGTTGAAGAATAAGGTTGTAGCCTGTGCCCAAAACAAAAGGCCAAGAGGCCAATAAAGCAGAAAAGCTGGAGAGGGCCAGCATCCCGTGTGGATCTTTCGTGTAGTTATCCATGGCATCCTTAACCTGGTTCAGACATGCGTGTCATATATGCTCTGCAAACTTCTAAGATGTTTTCAGGTTTCTTCAGCTGAGAAGGTTTTATTATAAAAGAAAGACATGGAAATCAAGCCAACCAGAAAAGCCAGCCCACAGAAAATCAGGGTCAGGACAGGTACTCAGTACCCAGCGTGTGGCTTGTGATGCAGGAGTCATGTTGCCCCTCAAACCAGGTGTCCATAGCCTGGTTCTATCATCTGCCACTTTGAGCTCTTTTCTGTTTCCCTCCTACTGCTGAATCACTGCCCTTACTTTCCTGTCTCTTCCTCATGGCTTCTACAGCCTCGTGGATTCCCTGTCTGTGTGTTTTTAGGCTCTGATAGTCAAGATCCCAAAGCAAACAAATCATAAAGATATCAGGAAGTACAGTGAGTGAACGAGTAAGCAAGTAAATATGATGGAAACCATTCAATTTTATTAAATACTTAAAGTAACTGAAAACTAAAATAAGCAGAAATCCCCTTATAATAATGGTAGTCATAAAAATAATACTCTCAGCTAGCGTTTACTGAATGCTTACCATATACATTCTAAGGCCTCTAAATATAGTATCTTTAATTGTACACTATCCCTGCGATGTCAGTACTATTGTTATATGCCCATTTTTAGGTGAGGAAACAGGCAAAGAGAGATTGCGTAACTGACCCAAGCACACAAAGCAACAGAGCCTAGTGTATGACCAAAAGAGGCTGAGCTCTCAATCACCATACTGTGGTGTTGCCAATGATTGTAGAGGGAACAACTGAATCTTGATGACTCTATGGAGGTGATTTGTAATTTGCATGGAGTTTCAAAGCACACACTATACCCCTTATACTATTAATTTCCTCTCCAAGTCTCGAATAGCAAAAAAAGTGTATTTTGGCATTGTTGATTTAATCAAAAGATCAAATAAATGGCAGATTTTGTTGTTGTTGTTGTTAGTTCTAAGTACATTTTCAAGTCATGTAAGGTTATTTGCTCTGTGCTCATGTTAAGGTTCTGTATCTCAGGAACACAGACCCATTACATACCAGTACTGTTTTCTTTGTTAAATGTAGATCTTTCCCATTGTAAAATCACTGTATAAATTCATAAGGAGAGACAAGAGAGAGACCGAGCATCATTGTTACCAAGTGTTGGAACAAGCACCAACAAGCCATCTTAAGTGGTTGAGTATCAGATGTAACAAGAGCACCAGGGTGTTGCAGGTGGCACCAAAAAAACACATTCCCTGGTTTGTAAAGAAGCAGAAAAAGAACACTTCTTTCCATTTTGCCATATGTTATAAACTGTTACATGTCATTAACCTTTCTTCTAAAAGTCCAATTTAATTTCTGAATAATATTCCAATTTATGGATATACCATAATTTAGTTAATTTATTTTTGAACATTTGAGTCTTTTCTAATGTTCACTATTACAAACAATATTGTAATGGTCATCCTTATTTGCACATGTCCATAATTATCTCTTTATGGAAACTCTGAGAAAGGGAATGTCTGGGCCAAATGGCATGTACAACATTAAGGCTTTTGTTATGTATTATCATATTCTCTAGAAATATTGTTCCCATCTGCATTGTACAAATGATCTCATAGCCCTAAACATTTGCTGTCACAGAGAATTCTCTACTTTTTAGAAGACTTGTCTGTTGGTGATAGAAAAAGATTATCTCATTTTGATTTTATTTTTTAAATTACTAGCGGGGTTGAATTTTTCTTGTTCCTAGGTCATTTATGGTTTTTATTTTGAGAATCATCTAGAGCCCATTTTTCTGCTGTGTTGTTCATTTTTCTAATTGACTTGCAAGAGTCATTTTATGAAAAGAGTATTAATCCTTTGTCATAGTTTAAACAAAAGGGAAAAAATATACACACTTTTACCTTAAAATAACATTTACTTTATTGCAAAGCAATACTTGTTTATTTTTTGAAAAGAAAAAATAATATACAATAATATACAATGTACAATAGAGAAAATGAAAGAATACCAACCAGTGGTAACTAACATTAACATCATGATATTGTTCCAGCTTTTTTCAGATAGATGCATAAGTAGTAGGTAAATAGATAAATGATAGCTTGAGAGCTAGCTAGCTAGATATAGAGAATCATTTTAAATGCAAACAAGATCATACTATTATTTTAAGCTTTGTTTTTTCACTGAATATATCATAAACATCTTCCATATCAACAAGTATTCATGTGCAACATCACTTTTGGTGGTTGAATAATATTCTATCATATGGACCTACAATATTTAACTATTATTTCATTGTTGGACATTTATTTTTATTTTTCATTATAAATACAATATTCTATTAATCTTTTTGCTAAATTTTGTGAATATTTATCTCAAGTGATTTCTTTAGATATAACTTCTAGAAATGTAATTTCTAGATCAAAGGATATAATATACTTTTAATGCTTTTTAAAATATTGACAAGTTATCTTCCAGAATTATTTTATCAACATATACGTCTTTCAACTAGATAAGAATGTGAGGCTGTTTCTTTCAAATTCTCCAGTATTGAGCATTTCAATAGTTGCAAATATAATAGATTAAAATTTTTATTTTGTAGCTTATGCTTACATTTCTTTAAATGAGATATCGTTGAATATTTTTTTAATGTTTTGAGGATAATTGATTTACTCTGATTTGCTTCCTACTATTATTTTTCTATTGGGTATATCTTTTTCTTGTTGCTTTGGAAAAGCACTTTATATATTAAGGAGTTAAATTTTGTCATACCTGATTCAACCACTTTTATCACATCAAAAATGTGTATTTCTATTTGTCTTTTACTGTAAGAATTTATTAATCAGGAAAGAATGTTGAATTTTCAATCTATTGAGATGACTGTGGCTTTTTCCTTCATTAATCCATTAATAAGTAGAAATGTATGAATTGATTTCCAAATGTTGAAATATCTTTATGTTCTGGGAATAAACTCTCTTTGGATGTGTCACATCAATCTTTTAATTTACTACCAAACCTATTTTGTTAACATGTATTTGCATCAGCATTTATAAGCTCATAAAATTAAAAGTTTATCATTTTCTTCTTTGTTAGAATTTGGTTATCAGTATTACGATAGTTTCAAAAACTTAGAGGAGTTTCTTCCTCTATGATCCTGGTGAGTTTATTTTAAAATAATGGTTCCTTATTAATAATAGCACTACACACACCTATTTTTTTAAACACTCCTAAGAAGGGTACAAATAAGAAATAAAAGATCCCCTCTTCTGATTCATCTCTAGTCCTAGCCTAAGTGCAAACCACTTTACCCATTTCTGGTTTCAGCTCTTCTGGTGATTATCACTGCAACTCTAATAAATACACTTACTTCCTAACAAATATTCTTTCTGAATCGATCAGTTAGAAAAGGTATGTAATATCTCCCTTCATAAAAGATGGGCAGTTCAGAACACTTTTACTCAAACTCCTCTCGAGTTTCTGAGATATGTTAGTTAACTTACTATCAGTTATATTGTCTATCATTATACTTTAAAAGATACACTTAAAGATCCACCACTGCTTCTGGA